ATATTATAATACTGCAAATAATTAAAAATATTTATCGTTATTTTGACTTTATTTTTGACTTTAGCGGAAAAGTCATTATGAACTTTTTTGTTTAAAATTTGATGCTTTAACAGAAAAAAATATAATATACAGGGGTTTCCATTTGAAAAAATGTTATTTTACTGAAAAAAATCAAAATAACGACTCTCAATTGTTTTTTTTATTTCTCATTTTTACCAGCGTTAAAAATGCTACTAGTTTGCTAATTCAAACAACTTTGTATTTTCACTAATAACAAAGTTACTAATGGTGGACACTTAATTTGGATAACCCTGTATAGTCATTCCAAACGGGAAGCGGATAGATCAGCGCGTCATAAAATGTTGATTTGGAACGGGAAGCGGATAAATCAGCAAGCGGCGTTTCCCCCGTAAGGACAGACAGATTTTGTAACAAGATCCTCCATTGTGAAAGTGTTAAATACCGTCGATTGTCAGTTAGAATGATAGCTGAGGAATCCCCAAAACAAACGTCCAATAAATTCTGACAGCAAAGCTTGAAATGAAAAAATGGTGCGCGAAAATCGTTCCGAAGCTCTTGACTCCAGAACAGAAAGCAAGGAGAGTTGCTTGCTGTGATGATTGGTTGGGAGCAGAGGAAAGAAGAGACATCGGGTCATCACTGAAGACGAGCCTTGGTTCTACGAGTTCGATGTGGAGCTGAAATCTCAAAGCATGTAGTTAAAGCAAGCAGGGGAACCGGGAACAAAAAAGTCGATAAAATCAATGTCCAATGTTGAAAACAATGTTGATTGTTTTCTTTGATTCTCGGGGCATTGTTCACCAGGAATGTGTCCCTCCCGGCCAGACAGTGAACTTGAGAAGTTTTTCGCCGTCTCAGAGCTCGTGTGGCCCGAGTTTGACAGGATTTGATACAAGGGGGCAGGTGGATCCTTCATCACGACATCGCGCATGCTCACACGTGTCTCGTTGTGCGTGAGTTTTTGGCCCGAAGCTCAATCACCGTGACAAAACACCCGCCTTAATCACCCGATTTGGCCGCTTGCGACTTCTTCCTGTTCCCAAAATGCAAGATGGTGCTTTGGGGCGGCACTTGGGGGATGTGGAAGCCATCAAAGCAGAAACGACACGGCAAATGAAAAGCCTTACATTTGAAGACTTTTAACGATCCTATCAACAGTGGAAACGGCGTTGGTAGAAGTGCAACTTGTCTCAGGGGAAGTACTTTGCAGAAGACCATATTGAAATACATACTTGAACTTTAATACGAATTTTCCGGACAGACCTCGAACAGTGCTTTTCAGAAAGCCAGGGATGTTGGCGACTCACTTTTTGCGAACCATCTCACTTTTACTCACTTTTCATTGAAAACAATTACTTTTCTCACTATTTTCGCTCTCGCTGTACATATTGTAATTTATGAACATTTTCGAGAAAGCTATCCTGGTTTTCTTAAGCCCTACGAAATTAAATGAAGATTTTTTTTTATAAAAACGACTATGACAAAGTTGTTCATGTACAGGTTTCTCACCAAGCTGAGCCAATATGTATTACATGAGAAATAATTAGGATTGTTTGAAATCTACGTAATTCAACTTTGCTAAAAGGACGCTATATAGGGTATTCTTTAATGATATGCTAATATTTAAGGGTGTGAATCTACATGAAAAATTAATGTTAGTTTGGTCCAAAAATGTTTCCTTTCAAAAACAAGGGGTGTTGAAGTTTTAGGAAAAAATGGAAATTAATATTTTCAGAACCGCTTCAGATATTTCACTGATATTTAGTACGTAGTGAAAGTTAATAATGTTGCATATTTTTCAATGAAAAAATAATTTTTAGCTTTAACAGTGGGGTGCGTACGGGTATTGACATATTTTTGAAGAAAAAAATGGTACGCCAATGGTTTTTTGACAAACAAAAATTATTTCTGAATTCCCCGTTCAATTTAAAACAAATGATCTCTCATGAGTTGCTTTCCTTCGATGCGCCATTTTTTAGTAAAAAGATAAAAACCGTTCTATTGTCCGAGAAAATTAATGTAATAATTGAAGAATGCAATTTAGCAATAAATATCTAGTTGCTCTGGAATATGTCACTGGCTTTTGACATCTAACAAGTCTCTGTTACTCAAATCTGTTCGCTGTGACATTTTTTCATTGTGTATATGGCCTTGCCGACGGTAATGGTGAGCAATCCACACTGATTTATCACCAGAGATATCCCGATCGTGCTTTGCCAGATAGTCGAACCTTTTCTAATATTCATCGTCGTCTTGTTAAAACTGGTTCTGTCCGAAAAGGAACATCTGAAGGTAGACCTATAAGTGTGAGAACACCTGAAATTGAGGAAGCAGAGCTGCACGAAGTCGAAGAACATCGGGAAGTCAAATGTTTAATGATTTTAACGAAAAAGTGGCCATATATCCAAAAACATCCAGTGCAAGTCCCCGAAACCATACATTGGCAGAATGGCCAAGAAAAGGCGCTTCTAAAAATCAACAGAAATACAGGGTCCCATTTAGGAAAATAGAACTTTATATTACCATTAATTTATGGAATACCTTGTATAGCTAAATATAATTTTTGGTTGTAGCCTTAAGCTCTGCCTACAACTTTTGTTTTAAACTTTTTTCTGCATTTCTAATAGAAACGAAGATATTTAGCTTGACATACTATTTGGACACTATGTATATATACTTGGGATTTCAAATTCGGAAACGGTAAAAAGTTAGGTAACTAATAAAATGTTACTTAGGCCGTTTCCTGATTTGTCGAATGGCGAAAATACAGTCAACTTTAACATTCTATACATAGATAAATATTTTGTATCATTATGTGGAAGTTCTTTTGCTGCAACAAATAGTCGACAGTTAATATTATACTAAGTGACATATAAATCCGAACACCCAGTTTAAATGGTTTTATTTTAATAAAAGTTGGTGAATGTATTTATCTTACTGTAAATAACAAGTGAAAACATTTTCAGCCTTATCAGTTGAACATTCCGGTTTTTATACTGCTTTTTTTTTAATTCACTAACGCTCTAAAAATGAATATTTCAGCCGCAGTAAAGAATCAACGTTGGCGGATTCTGGTTCTTGACATTCTTTACGATCGGTTACGATGCCTAGAGTACGGAGACCTGTACGATTTCGTCAAATTAGTGAGTTTGATAGGCGCCGTATAGTGAGACTTCGGGAAGCTGGACTTTCTTTTCGGGCAATTGCAGTTAGAGTGCAAAGAAGTGTAGACACTGTGGTTAGGTGTTGTCAGGCATGGCTTCGAGAAGGCCGTACGCAAAGAGCAAGGGGCACTGGACGCCGCCGTAGAACAACAGACCGTGAAGATCGCCGCCTAAGATTATTGGCCTTAAGGGACCGTTTCTCCACTACCAGGTCCATTGCAAATGAATGGTTTGCAGAACACGGAAGACCTATTGGCATGCGAAGTGTTTACCGACGAAAGAGAAGTTTTGGCTTGTTTTCATACCGGCAACACCGACGTAATCGCCTTGAGTGGTGCAGGCAACGGTCACTCTGGGATCAGGAATGGAACAGTATTGTCTTTAGTGACGAGACTCGATTTTGTTTAAGCATGCACGATGGTCGTGCCAGGGTTAGAAGGCGACGTGGTGAAAGGAAGAATCCACAGTTTTTTGTTGAAAGACATGTTCATCACACTGTTGGAGTTATGGTTTGGGGTGCTATAGCTTATGGTTCCAGGTCACCTTTAATCTTCATCAGAGGTAACATGAACGCGCAGCGTTATATCCACGAAATTCTAGAACCCCATCTTTTACCCTATCTTGACACCCTGGCAGATCCAACTTTCCAACAAGATAATGCCCGACCACATGTTGCAAGAGTCACAATAGACTTCTTTCAACATAATGATGTCACATTGTTACCATGGCCACCAAGATCTCCCGACTTATCCCCAATTGAGCACGTGTGGGATATGATGGGTAGGAGATTGCTCAATTTGCAACGTCCTCCTCAGACTCTAGAAGCACTTCGAGAGGAGTTGGCGGTTGCCTGGAATGAGATACCACAGGAGGACATTGACCACCTGATCAGAAGCATGCCTAGGCGCGTTGGAGAATGCGTAGCACATCAGGGTGCATCCACACATTATTAAAGGTCAAAGGACTTTAAAGCAGTGCAATCATTTTGAAATTTTTATCATTTACTTATTATGCTTCATTAAACTTATACAAAATTTTATTAAAATAAAACCATTTAAACTGAGTGTTCGGATTTATATGTCACTTAGTATATGTTCGATATCATTCAATACCGCATTGCTCCCATCTACGCATTACTCGGTATATTCTCGGTATGAAATTCTGCGGTACGGTTCGAGTGATGATGATATTTTGGCGTGTTATTTGTATCTCCGCGTACGTAAAAAAAACAAAACCTTATTGGCGTCATCCTTACATCGAAAATAATATTAACTGCCGACTATTTGTTGCAGCTCAAGGACTTTCGCATGATGATACAAATTTTTTATCTATGTATAGAATGTCAAAAGAAACATATCAACAGCTTTTGAATCTAATATTCAGACAACACAGGATACTTTTCTATTTCCAGTACTAAAGTTAAATGTATTTTCGCCATATTGCGGTGAATCCTCAGCGCCCCCCTGACGAGCGTGCCGAGACGCGGTAAACCGAACGGATCCCTCCACGATCCCGTACAATCCGCGCTAATCAGAAGGGACTCATTGAAATATAGGCGCTCGGTAAGCTATCGGTACCGCGTATTCCGCACCGATACCGCATCGACAAATCAGGAAACGGCCTTAGTTTGGCAATTCAGAGTATTTTAAAAGAGACAGAAAATAAGAATTTACACTGAACCGTTTTAATTGTCTCCTTGCTTAATTTGAGCTAGGATTTCAATATAAATTGCATTAACACCCTGTATAGTATGTATTAAATTAATTTCACACGATTATTCATTGTAACGTCAAGGTTATTTCTTTATAATTTTAGTGATACAATGGGGAACAAAGCTGCGTTCATCACACTAAAAGGCAAGGATATGACACCAAACTACACTACTTACGAAGCTGTGGTAAGTATTCCTTAAACTCTAGTTGTATATGAGATATTCAAAACGTTTGAAGAATAAAGATTTAGTTAACGTTTTTCAAGTACAGTGAAATTTCCTTTGAGCAGACACCAACGGGACCGACTGAAAGTGTCCGTTCAAGAAGGGTGTCCATATAAAAGAAATGCAACAAAAATCGTGTATTTATTGGAAACTGACTATATTAAAAAAACTGGGACATTTAACACAAATATGTATATACATGTTTTAAAATAAACAAAAAACTTTAAACTTGAGAAAAAAGGTTTGTTACCTTTAGATATACACCTTAGGAAAAACCATTGTTGTACATGGGAAATCATTTCTTGGCAACAGCGCATCGGCTCGTCTACTTTCATCGCTATTCGTACATATTTCCTACCGTTAACGCGCGTGCCGTCGTCAAGTGCGATAAGGGATTCATGACTCACTCTGCGGTTGGGTTTTGTGTAGGAAAGGTGCGTCTTTATTTAATCCAAAATATCTTAAAAATGTACTCGCAAGAAGAAAAGTTTCAAATGATAGAATGGTACATCCAGAATAATTCAGCACGCGCGGTTGTTGAATTATTTGCGGTACGCTTCCCAGATCGGCCAATTCCGTCTCACGCAACGGTTATAAATACCTACGAAAAATTCAAGAGGGTGGGCTGCTTAGATAAGTGCCATAGCTGCATGCACCCTGAAGGTTGGAAACCAAAAATTAGCGAGAAAAGGGAGGAGATCGAAACTGCTGTTTGTGCCGCTGCAGAAGTATCTGAGCCATGCTCAAGCAGAAAAATTGCTGAAATGGTACCAATAGCCGATCTCACACCCAGAACAACAAGAAATATTTTGCATCGCAACGGCTATCATAGCTTCAAGGTTGGAATGGTTCAAGAAATATTTCCTTTAGACAAATACCGTCGAATGGAGTTTTGTGAAACGGTCATGGAGAAGGCGAACAAGGATGGAAGTTTTATTGGTAACATTTTGTTTACTGATGAATCCACATTCCCTCTCCACGGTCATCACAATCCTTCAGTCGTTCGGTATTGGTCTCGGGAAAATAAACACCTCAGTATTCCCGTCCGCACGCAGTATCCACAGAAACTGAATGTGTGGGCAGGAATTCTAGGTAATAACATTATCGGACCGTTCTTTATTGATGGAACTCTTACGGCTGCAAAATATTTGGCGTTACTACAGACGCAGATTGTTCCTGCAATTAGGCAGCTTGGCATTGATCTCGCTAATATTTGGTTCCAACAAGATGGATGCCCGGCGCATAATGCGGCGGTCGTACACACTTAGCTTGAAAGTGTGTTCGGCCACCGGATTATTGGCGGTAACGGAACAATAAAATGGCCTCCTAGATCACCCGATCTAGCGCCCAATGATTTTTTCTTGTGGGGTTATGTGAAAAGTACTGTTTACACTTTCAATGAGAGAGCAGACCATTTGCATAACCTACAGGTGAAAATCGTTGAAGCGCTCGGGCAAATACAGCCTTCTACCCTCTTGAGAGTTCGTCAGGAGTTTTCTAACCGCCTGACATACTGTTCATTGAATGAAGGAGACGTTTTTGAGCCCCAGCTGTGAAGGACCATTTGAAACATTTGTGTTCATTATTGCGTTTTATTTTTGAGAACTTATTTTTTTGTTAGAATATCTTTTTATTTCGTTACACATTTTTAAGAGTGTACTATTTTTTGTTAGAGTGGGTATCTTCTTATTTTTGTTATGAGACGCAACCCTTATTTGCTACAAAACCAATTATCCATTCATAAAAATAAGTAGAGTGATTTAGGTGCTTTCGTGAAATCTCGAAATCACCGAAATCGGTTCACAGGACGCACAATCGAACTGGTGCGTAATGCGCGCATCTACTGTACTTCTTCTGTCGACTCAACGCATACTGAAATTTGCAGCAGACCGCAGACCTGTATCACGAATGAGAATAATAGGCAGATACGCTGTGTTGCCAATTTGAGTAGAGCTTCCCGAATTGTGGGGAATTTAGAGTTAAGAGTTGATTCATTCAAGCTTTTAATCAGCATGGCCTAGACGTTAGAACTTCATAAAGATAACATTGAAGCTGAATGCTGCTGGATTATAGTGTTTCGAATATTCAAAGCGGAGCGGGGCACTATACTCGTTCAATGGGTCATCAAGCCACAGTCTTTTCAACAAAGAAATTATTTTACGAAAATACGTTATATTTTTACGATTTTGTCGTCACCAAATCTGTTTCTCAAAATGTATGTCTATTGTAGAATTTTCAGCAAACTAAGCAAGAAACGTGATCTAGTATTTACTCAACATTACGGATTTCTCGAAATACATTAAAAAATGTGACCTAGATACCTAACTGCCCCAAGCTCTTTAAATATAACACCTTAAACCAGGGTTACCAGGTGCTCAGTCGGAATCATCAGGTATTGCCAGATTCCCGAATACCGGGCACCATAGTACCCGTTATAGTTGTCCTTCAAAGTTGTCAAATCGCCCCTATGGCGCGAATTCGCCACACCAGGCAACTGTGCTATAAACAAACCCTGTTTATCACTACTATTTGATAGTCATATGGTAGTTGTAGCCCTATTAGCGGTCCATGATTTCTCTCAATACTGTTGTATCTCTACTGGCAACAAGAATAGGGATTACAAAATCATACATACAACAATATACAAACATGAAAATATGATTTGAACCATGAAACATTAATACAATTTTAATAGTTTGAACTTTTTTCATTTTTGGAATACTCTTATGTGGAATCCGTAGCTATTTTTCCCGAAATTTATTGGTATCGGCAACTCTGCGAATGGGAGAAACAAATCGCATTTGTTGAGCGCATCCGTCTAAGCGGCAGGCGCCAGCGCCCGTTCTGCCATCTCTCTTTTATCACTCTTCTACTTTACCCCGTTGTCCGTCACACTCCGACGCTGCCAGATAGGATCCTACAATCGAGTGTCTTTCACGCACCTACATACTTTTGTATATTTCCATCTCTCTTCCTCATCATAATGTATAATAATGGTTTTTCCGAAGCTGTATATAAAGTATGTACATATGTACATGTGTATAATATAATATGTACATACATATAGACTGTAACAAAAGTTTGGAACGCATCAAATATCTAACGAATGACTCATCTCATTTTTTAAATTGCTAGGTTTATGTTGCCAAATCTACAGCTTTTCAGAAACTGATAGCACCTTCTGTTTTTATTGAGGAATGCTATATATACATTTTATTTGATATTTGAATTCTGCGGATTCTAAATACTTTGAATAGTTTTCGAAATAACAATAAAAGGTATTTTACTCCTAAGCTATGACCGGTATAGGAAATAGTTTCCTGTCATTTCTGACATTGAAAAATCCATTGAGTTTTGTTAGTAGGGTTAATAAAAATATAAAATATGATTTATTTAACTAAAACCAAGAGGATAGAAATTTTAATATTGATTAAAATAGTGTACTTGATATTCCAAGGAAACAAGAGAAAAATTAAAAACAAGAAACGATAAAACCTAGTTGTTAATTTAAACTTCAAAACAAGAAAAATCATATTAAATGTTTAAATTGCCGTCCATATAATGTACTTCTTGGCAATAAGCTAGATATTGCGGAAATGCGTTTAGAACATTTATACTATCGTACTTCTTCTACCTATCTATCTTCCAAAAAATGTTTGATCCAACAATTCGCGAAGAGTTCGAGCGTAATGCGGAGGTGCACTATCTTGTTGAAGCCATATTCTATCGTTGGGCACTCTTATACTCGTATTTACTAAAAGGAAACAATTTTGATAATTTTCATTGCTCCGGGTAATGAAAGTTACAAGGATTGGGAAGCTAGGACAACGTGATTCCTAAAAAGATGCAAATATCTTTCAGCGTTTCAATTTTCTTCCATGAAAAATGAACTGATTATCTTTTGACCTGAGACCGCCCCAAACAATATTTTTTGTGGATATTGTCTATGATGTTCCCGTACCCAATGAGGATTTTTCCTGGCCCAGTAGCGGCAATTATGGCGAGTAAGAGTTCCGTACAAAGAAAAACTTGACTCATCCGAAAACATTATTTCGTAAAAAAAATGTTCATTTCTATTACACATGTCCATCATGGTCTCACAGAATTGTAAACGCCTGCTAAAATCTTATAGCTCTTGAACCAAGGTGACTCTGTAAGGTTGGAATTTTTCCGTCTTTAAAATGTGTTCCACAGGCATGCGAGATATACAGGGTGGCGCATCGAAAACGAAACAGACGCATTTACTGGCAGCTCATTTTTTTTTGGAAAAACGCTCAGACCCGTCGATTTTGTTTTCGAGGGGGACACAAGTTTGGCAAAAAATCACGTTAACACGTGCGGTCCCCTGGGCGGGGGTGACACCAACCGTAAAATCTTAAATGGAAAGTGAGGTCGAGTGATAAATTATTTTAAAGGTCTTTCAGTTCCCTTTATAATGATGTAAAATACATGAGCTTCAGTTCAGTAGTTTTGAAGATTTATTGATTTAAGCTTAAAGTAGACTTTAATAGGTACATCAGATTAGTTTGTACTACTCTCAAAAGAAATTTGACTAAAAGAATTTACTTAATATGGAAATGCTTTTCTTCACTACGCCTATGCTTTGTTTATCATTTTGTTGTTGAAAATAGCTATTGGAGCGTTTTTTTTTTTGTAGCAAAAAAGTTATTTCTTGAAGAAAGATAAGGAAATATCTCGTCCTTATTTTAAATAGGAATTTAGTACATATTTTGCGATTGATTTGACCAAACTTTGTTGCTAAAATAACTTGTAACGCTTTATTACATAAATTAATCATGGTATATTCCACAGCAGAAAGAGTTGAAATTATCGAAATATTTTTCGGAAATAATCAGTGCGCTAATAGAACAGCAGAAATCTTTAATGAGAACAGTAACGTGCATCGAAAATATGTTCTAGAACTTGTAGCTAAATTTCGGGAAACTGGGTGAGTCGCCAATAAAAAACGCAACATTGAAAATCCCATAAGGAACGAAGCAATAGAAGTGGGGGTTTTAGGGCAAGTTTATGTAGATCCTACGTTAAGTACCTGCAAATTGGAGACTGTGTGTGGTGTTAGTCGACGTACTGTTCAACGGATTCTAAAGGCCCATAGATTTCATCCGTATAAAATTCACCTGCTACAAGAACTTAATGAAGACGATTTTGATCGACGATTACAATTTTGTGAAGATATGAGTGAACGAATTATAAACGATGAACATTTTCTATTCAACACTTGCTTTTCCGACTAACGTTCCTTTTTCTTAAATGGCGTAGTAAATCATCATAACTGCCGATATTGGTCCGATTCTAATCCCAGAATTTATCACGAGGTTCATACACAGCAGCCACAAAAATGAAATGTTTGGGCTGGTATTTTTGGCGATCATTTAGTTGGTCCTTTTTTCTTACCTGGAAATTTGACCGGTGAAATGTATTTGGAATTACTGGAAGACTCCATAGATCCTGCATTAACAGCCATAATTGAAAATCAGAATGATCGACGGTACATTGCGAATAGGTTGATGTTCCAACAGGATGGTGCCCCACCACTTTATGCATTACGTGTTCGACAATATTTATATAAGACGTTTCCAGATCGATGGATTGGTAGAAGAGGTGCCATTGAATGGCCCCCAAGATCGCCAGATTTATCACCTCTGGATTTCAGTATGTGGGGTCATTTAAAAAGCAAAATCTATGCTACTCTGCCAACATCATTATAAGACCTGCGACAAAGAATTGTGAATGAGTGCCTTCAAATTACTCCTCAAATGAGCAAAATCTTTATTATTGCATGGAGAGTCATGGTGGCCATTTTCAACATTTACTTGCCTAACGGGTCAGTTCATTCTTCATCTTTAAATTACTTTGCTGCCAAATGTATTGATCTCCACTAATAATGATGTATTAGTTTTTTTTAAGCTTTAAATCAATAAATCTTCAAAACTACTGAACATTAATTTTATAACATTATAAAGGGAATCGAAAGGCCTTTAAAATAAGGTATCACTCGACTCCCCTTTCCATTTAAGATTTTTGGGGTGGTGTCACCCCCGCTTAGGGGGCTGCACGTGCTAACGTGATTTTTTGCCAAACTTGTGTCTCCCTCGAAAACAAAATCGACGGGTTTTTTAAAAAAACTGAGCTGCCAGTGAATGCGTGTTTCGTTTTCGATGCGCCACCCTGTATTGTTATCTTGACCAAGAGTTCTAGAGTTTTTCGCTATGGTCACTAAAATATTCAAAGTCTTATTTTCGTCAGTGGCTGTTTTGGGATGGCCAGATCGTGGAACATCCTTTACATGTCCTGTTATTTCAAACTTCCTCAAAACTTTCCAAAAGTAGATATATATATATATATATATATATATATATATATTGGATTCCGCTTGAGATATTTGTCATTAAAAATACGCATACTTCTTGCTGAGTGCGTCGACGATCGCCATAACCCAGAATCATTAGAATTTCTATTCTCTCGGTTTCAGTTGAATGAATCATTCTCAGTAACTCTACTAACAAAACTCTATGGACTTGGAATGTCAGGAATGACACGAAATTATTTTCGATACCGGTCATTGCTTAGGTGAAAAAACATCTTATTGTTTATGTATTAATGTTTGACGGCGAATATTTCGAAAAGTATGAGTTCTCCATCAAAGTATGTTTAATGAAAAGTATTTAGAATTTCTCGCAGAATAAAAATATCAAATAAAATGTACAGCATTCCATAAGAAAAACAAAAGTTGCAATCATCAACGAATCCTACATTAAGTAGTAAGTCATCTTCTGGGTCAGGAGTATCACCTCATTTATCTGGTCTTCACTTTGCATATTTTCATGCTTAAATCCTGCTTTGTAGAAGCAATTTTGCACTGTTTCTTTGGTTACTTGGTCCAAAGCGGTTTTTGCCAAATGAACCGTAGCCGATGACGTAATTTTCTTTATTAACTCAAAAGTAATTTCAATGTTTAATAGCAGGTGTATCTTGTGGGAAAAGTGCACTTCTTTGTTAATTTTGGGGCGCTGAATGAAATAAAAAAATTAGTTTAGAAAAAAAACTTTTTATTTTTAAGGATATATTAAAAAAAGTAACAAGATTCATATACTTATAAGAATCACTATTTGCGCTGTCTTTTTGCTGTTCTTTTATGGAGCGTTTCTGGAGCATCTCTACCAAGAGTCCAACAGTAGTCTGCAAGCATGGAAGGATTCCACTTTCCCTGGTACCTTTTTTCCATTGTTGAACAATCCTGATGAAAACGTTCGCCGTGCTCATCACTTACGGCTCCGCAATTGTAAGGAAAAAAGTCCAGGTGTGAGTGTAGGAAATGTATCTTAAGAGACATATTACAGCCCATCTTTTGATAAGATGACAGCATATTTTTGACAAGGGTTTTATAGTTGTCAGCTTTTCTATTTCCCAAGAAATTAGTGACGCAGGTATTGAAAAGCTGACCCATCTCTATCTAATGCCTTGACAAAGTTTTTCATTAGGCCCAACTTGATATGCAGTGGTGGTAATAAATTTTTTCGAATCTACTAATGGCATATGCTGTACATTTTTTTGACCTGGCTCTAGGAATTGACGAACAGGCCAGTTTTGTCTGGTGTAATGAAGTGCCTTTGCCCGACTGTCCCATTCACACAAAAAACAGCAAAACTTTGTGTAGCCTAGCTGCAGCCCAAGTAAAGTGCAAGTAAGCCGTTAATGTTACTGCAGAAAACCAAGTTATTCTCCATATTGAAAAATGGTTCTAAGTCTTTGTGGCGTTTACGAAAAACACATACCGAAACATCGTCTTCTAACAAGTTCCACTGCTGCAGTCTTGATCCAAGTAACTCCGCCTTACATTTTGGAAGTTCTAAATCTCTTACAAGATCATTTAATTCTGACTGTGTTATTTTGTGCGGTTGGTGGCATGACGTGCTCGGTATAAAATCAGGATCTCTTGACGTTGTTGGCATATCTTCTTCCTGACGAATCACTCGATCGCCATGATCTGATTCATTTTCTGATTCGCAAGTGTAGGATTCTGGGGGTTTTGGAATAGGATTTCGTCACTGTGAGGCACAGGTCTCATCGCAGATGGTATGTTTGGGTAGTTAATAACCGATTTTTTTTTCTTGGACATACCTGTGGCTTGTCCAACACAAGGTACCATGCAAAAGTAACAATCATTAATATGATTTGTAGGCTCTCTCCAAACCATTGGGACAGCAAAGCGCATAGACCGTTTTTTGCCATTTAACCAGCTCCTCAGACTTGAAGCACATGTATTACAGCAGATGTGGGGTGCCCACTGTTTGTCTTGATCACCTAGTTTACAACCGAAATAAAGCTGATATGCCTGTTATTAGTGGAGTAATAGACCGTCTCTGAGACGCAAAAGTCACATCGCCACACACGTAACAAAACTGATCTGGATTGTTTACACACTTTCGAGACATCTTGCATGAACGCTGTCAGCCAACTGAGGAAAAAATGGCTAATATAAAACAATATAATGTACACGTATGTATAACGTAACACAATCATGCCGATTACATCATCTTTCCTTGCCGAATTAAAAAATGTAGCACGTGCATTCTTGTGAATTACAGTATATTAACACTGTCACAGCAGGAACACATATAATTACCGTATCTCTAAAACTTGAACTAATATTGAAAAAATAAGTTACATTCCGGTTTTAGCACATTAAAAATAGTAATATTTTGTTGATTTTATTTAGGATATTTTTTGGCTGTTGATCAGTGTTATATGTGCAGATTGTGTTTTTCCAATATTAAAACGCTTGGATAAGTTTCTTACACTCAACTTCCCCTTACTGTGAACTTAACAATCTCATTTTTTTTTTGTTTAAGCGTCAGATCTTTTCTATTTTGAGCCATTTCTACATTGAATGTGTCGCCTACTGTGTCTTTTCCGCATAGACGACAGACTAATACTGAATGGAAATTTAATCGAAAACGTGTACCCAAAGAATAAGAACGTAAATACCCGACCAACTCGGGGAAGTCTCTAATTCACACCCGGCAGAAGGTTGCGTTTGTACCGAAAGATTACAGTCTGTGAATCCCCATGTAAGAGGGGTGTCCGCGAAGGAGAATTTCACTGTACTCATTAACTTGATGACGTTATTAACATTATTATTTTTTTCAGCTTCATCCAGATGTGAAACCAATGGCATACGCCAACTCGTTGCTAAGTTTAATGTGCTAGTACCTGCCATTTGTAGTTGATTTTATTAGTTTCCAATTCCTTTTTCAATTCTTAATTAGGTTAAGTATAAGCATTTTAATTAATTTTGCTTCATGTAATTGAACTTATGTATTTGAGTATGAACATTATATATGTTGTTTTGTTTTTTACATTCTCTTTTTTTATCAATTGTACCTTGAATACATTTATTTTCTCCTACCTCCTCAAACCATGATTGATTGTACAAAATTGTAAAGCTGCCTTCTACTCTTTCTACCACCAACGTTATTTTATTTGTTTTCGAAATGTTCCATTTTATAGTGTATATTTTAATAAAAATTAGAATACACTGGTCCAAATTTTCCTATATCATAAATTATGATCAGCCCTAGGATGGGTCACCTGCTATGTTCAAAATCGTTTCAGGCACAAGAGGTTTTCAGAAAATAAAATGCGGTATCAGCCAAGTGCGGATTTAGACATTTTTCCCAAGAAAGTGCTATATATTGCGGTATCTTAGCGTAAAATTACCTTGCTAGACCTGAATCGTGAGATGTTAAACCTATCTCACGCCCCGCACTTCAATTTTGTTACGAGTGGAATTTGTTCTTAGATGCGCTGCTTGAAAGCTAAGCATGCAGCCGCCACTCCCCACCCCCTCCTTCCCGCTCTTCAAAATTGAATCGCTGCTACCCCCTTCCCCCTGAGACGTACATCTTCCTATGTCATTTTCAGACATCTCGAAAAATTAATATATCAATCTGTAATAGTGAATTACAACGCAAATTGAATTAATTGATTTCTTGACGGTGAGTTTCAAATTTGGCTGACGTCGTAATGTGTACGAGAGAGAAGCGAGAGGTGACCTCGTACTCGGGTTGCTAGGCAACGAGGTGCTTCTATATCTTTACACATTACGACGTGAGTGGTATTTGGTTTTCAGTGTATAAGAAGTGATAAGTTACCTACCATAAATTTAACAGACGATTCTTTGAGTAATTTTAAGACAAAAGGTTCATATAAACATGATACTCAAATTCTTCACTCTCAAGATACAAGGTGTTAATTTTTTTCGTATCTTTTACCTAATTTTGTTGTAACTTGGCGGCGGTATTTATAAGATTAAGGAGGAGAGTAGTTACAAACCTCCTTGCGTTTCTGTGAACCTGATAACAAGTCTCCAATCTACCAAATTTACGAAGAAGATGTGGTCAACAGTGCGATATTCAGAAACCTACAGATATGTGTCAGGATTGCAGAAACGAATAAGCGCATAGAACAAACAGAGTGATTATCATCTCTCCTCACGTTTTTGTGATACTTATAGCAAGTCACCATCCATCAATTTTACGATAAGAGTCTGATCGACAGTGCGATTTTCAAAAACTTCTAGATCTATATCAGGATTGTATGTTAGAAACGACTAGGAGCATAGATGTCAAAGGTTAAAATTTCGTGCCAGCATCATAATATAAGCAATGTACAATTCATATACCTCCTCGCGTTTCTGTGATCCTGGTAGCATCTTGTCCAACAATTTTACGAGAAAAGTTTGGTAGACAGTACGATTTTCAGAAACCTGTAGCAGGATCGCAGAAACGGCGATGGTATCGATGCCACGGATTTGCTTATCTCATAGCAGGAGCAGAGTACCATTTGCAAACATCCTCGCGTTTCTGTGAACCTGAAAACAAATCTCCAATCTACCAATTTTAGGAAGAAGCTGTGGTCGACAGCGTGATATTCAGAAACGTAAGTCTATAGCAGGATCCCACAAACGGCAAGAGATATCCATGTCACGGATCCGTTATCGATCGATAATTATGTATTGATAAATAACCGCGTGGGTATATATAAAATACTACGCACACGCAATAACAGTGCAAGTATATTACATCAATTGTACGAGCCCGGTATTATAATACAGGGTGTCCGCAAAGTTGGGGTTGTCCTTTTCAGAAACAACTACCCTTGAAATAACAAAGGTAATGTGTAGTGAAACGAGGGCGACCAAGTAAAAAAAAATAAAGGAAAAAGTACTCACTCTCCAGTTGACGAGAAGGGCTAAGTACGTCTCTGCCCGAAATCATACCGTTCCAACAGAAAATGAAATCAGCTGAAGCGCTACCGAGCAGACGCAGAAACCACATTGATTGTCTTACACTTAATGGCACATCTTTTAACAAGGAAGACAAAATGTTGCGTGAAAAGTCTAGGTATTGCATCCCGTCCAATCGATTTGGGAGAATAAATGGTCCAATGAGCATACCTTTCACCATGCCAGCCCAAACATTCACCGAAAATGTTTGTTGAAAATGACCAAACATGAGTGTTGCGAAAGTTATTCACCCCATTACGCGTGAACGTAGATTCGTCTGTCACCAATATGCACTTCAAAAAGTCCGGATTATGTTGACGCAACAACCACTCACAAAACCGCACTCTTGCTGGAAAATCGTCAGGTTGAAGGGCTTGTACACGTTGGACGTGAAACGGATACAGCCCCTCTTCACGCAGGGTTTGCCACATTTTAGTTTTTGATACCTGCACTTATCTAGCCACGTCTCTAGTGCTTGTTGCTTTTTGAAACGCAATCGATTATACGACTTCGTTGACTTCTACACGCGTGACTGTAACCGTCGGTTGAAGGTTGCATACTAACCTGACACACTGACCCCGACCCAGTTCTGCCGTCGGGTTGAGACCTTGTACCAGTCGGGGTGTCGGGGATATCCCAGCGGGTCGCGGCTACAGGACGGTATTCAGATATTTTTGATGTTGCAGAGCCCTTTATCTCGGTTCCCTTAAGACATTGGTGTATATGGTACTAAGAAAAAATGGTTATGTTTTCAAGATCTATATGTACACGTCGTGTAGAGGAAAACCCCAACTTTGCGGACACCATGTATATTTTTATCGACCGTTAGCGGCAATATGCATTAATATTATACAATATACACGAAGAAGATAATATACCTATATTTATATCATCGGGGTCTCGTCTCACTCAGTGACAAGACGAATCCCCAAACTACAGGCCGGCAAATCCAGATTGAGCCGCGAGATGCGCAGAAAACAGAGTGAGCCGGTGGATGTCTGAGAGAAACGGTAATAGCCGACGGTATAGAAGTACAGTCGACGCGGCAAGTTCAGTTACAACGTGAACATTTCAGTTATTTCATTTAATATGATAAAAGGCTACCTATTTTACGATTACAATTCGCCCTTCGTAGACAACCCCTTGACTTTATAAAAGAAATCCGAATTTGGCATTTCACTAGAAGTTTACGGAAAAAATGGGATGCAATTCTTTCATTAAGGGATTGATTGATTAGCTAATTGCTTGATGGTCGCATATACATTGAATCTAGCTGAGCCTAATGTTTAGATCTTTTCAGAAAACAGAAAATTGTGTACAAGGATGTTGAAACCCTATATCTTTCGTAATGTCCCACAATTTATGAGATATGCCCTGCTCTAACCTTAATTTCTCAAATAAGGAGAGAAATATTGATTCTAACTGAAAAACATAATACAAAAAAGCTTCAGGTGGGGGTTTTAAACCCTAAAGATTCTGTTATCATTTTCGAAAATTTTAAAATGGATCAACAGTTTACTTTCCAAACTATCAGCACCTTTAGAGAATTTTACACATATCTCACAGGAATCAATCTGCAAACACTTTAATTCATCATCCTCAAATATTGATGTACGTCTTATCAGAATTGGTTTCATACACTATAGAGTCAAAGTAATTTATTTTTCATTGTTGCTTACATTTTCGAATCTGCATAATAATAATAATCGCAATAGTAATCGTAATTTATTGTAATCGTAATTATATTTACTCTGTGTAAAGGAACAGCCACTCCATTTTCAGCCTCATTCTGCATACCGAGGCAACAATTTCTCGGCTTTGACCACTTAAAACTTTATTTGCAACTTCACTCTCCATTTTTATAACCTTCGAGTATAAATTAAAACAACCTATAGCTAATGCAATTAAAAATTTTACTGGAGCTGTAAACACGATGCTACCTCGATCGCTGCTGGTTTGTACTGGGTTGTCCCACGATACACATACACTGAAGATAGGATGTTGCGTATGTGGGCGGAGCTTCGTGACGTCACCCGGAGAGTTATCGGCTCGTGGTTACCAGCGGCAGAATTTTCGTAATGTTACTGCAGTTCACGTGTATTGTGGTTAATACTATATAGTGCGATTTGTTGGTGTTTTTTGGTGGTTTTGTGACTTGTTGTATTAGTTATACATACCTTATATACCCTGTGTGGTTGATAAATTGATAAAAATGCGGTGTGCTGTTGTGGGATGTAATTCCGACAATCAATCTAAACGGAATCTTCGCAGACATGAAATTCCACAGTTTTCCTCAAGACCCAAACTTTAGCAAAAAAAATGGCTACATCTCACAAAAACATAAGACAAAGTCAATGTAAAAAGCTTGCTAGAAAATGCTCTAGAGGATCTGAAACGACGCTTCAGCGTCCAATACCTGTTAACAAGACGTCTTAATCAAGATGTGATAGAAAACTTTTTCAGAGTAATTAGGGCAAAAGATGGTCTTCATGGCCATACAAGTCCTCTAGAGTTTAAGTATAGAATAAGGTCATATATGTTGGGGCGAAACGAAGGCGCATACTCAGAGTACCTATTGCAGTGTAGAGTCAGAGGATACTCCAGACATTCGACTAACCACTAACCGCATCATTAACGAGAATAAACTGAATGCACCTGAAGTATCAGCTGACTATACCGAACAAGTTTTAGTGGTAGAAATAGATGAGCTCGAGTATGACGGGCTGGAAAATTTGGCCGACTTTGTTTGCAATAAATTGCATAATGAGAGGTTGAAAAGTTCCTCAAATGGAAGTAAAGAAATAGATGAAAGTAGTGGTTTTTCGCTGACGATGTTGCCATTTCCCTCTTATGCTACACCTCTCACGTCTCGTTACGGTGCAAGACTAGAGTCAAGCTCAACAGGGTTTTCTTTTCCCGCTAATTTTTACAAGCCAGTCGTTCCCTTGGCAGTGGTTTCGCTAGATAGTGGGTAGGAACAGTGGGAACCTCGTTAATCCATTAATGCGTGTCACTGATTATATGACGAGGCAATTGGCTATTTAAAATATTTATTCATGAATAAATACATGTGCCCCGTTGTTCCGAGGTTGTAGTACAGGCTTTATACATACATTAAAAATTATATACAGTTGCACATGAGTTCTTACAAGGCTTGGCATGATACAGTACAATAAATAAATAATACAGGTTTACATAGATATAAAATAATAAATCAGGGACGTGCTCACATACAGGTACCGTTGTTCTGA